CCTGGCCCAGATGGTTGGCTGGGATGAGAAAATTCCAGGCTCTCTGTGTGTTCTTCCCACCCCCTTTCTTGCCTCTGCACACCCTTCACTGCCCAACAACTCCTCTCTCTTGTCCCTTTCCCCAGGGACACCTAAACAGCCAGAGGACTCTCCCTAGACAACTGGGAATCCCTGGGACTGCAGGTCTAATATGTTTTGATAGAGTTGGTAAAAAAAAAAAAAAAAAAAAATAGAGCCATGGATCAGCCTAAGTCCCTGAGGAGAGAATCCAGACTGAAGACAAACCAACCTCCCCTACACCACCCCCACATCCCCCATCTGGACCCTTTCCCTTCATGGCTCCCCTTCCCCTCCCCCAATCAGAATCCCTGTTTAGGGCTCCCAAGCCTTTGAGCACAGCTCCACCCCTCTCCCAGCACCTAAAGTTTGGGGGCTGCATTCAAGTGAGAGATTTCCAAGTAGGGGTGTGTTAGAGGGACTTCTTCTGAGGGCAGCTTGTCCTGGAAAAACAAGGAAAAGAGTGGCAGCCACCGCTGCTATCTCTGAGGACATCACCGTAGCTTCCCAGGAGACCCTCTGCTCTTTCCCCTCCCACACTAGCCCAGGAGAGCGAGCGAGCAGAGCGATCAGGGACCGAGCTTGCTTATCGTCACCTGACGCTGGGCAGCCACTGATCCCATTGGTGGAGCCAGATTCAGTCTGGCTCTCTCGTTCTTTCTCGCCTTCTCTGCCTCTCTCTCTCTCCTCCACGCTGCTTTGATTTCGCTCTTGCCTCTCCTTGCGCTCGGCTGGGAACATCGCCTCTCTGGGGGCAGCAGCAGTGCGCTGCAGAGCCGGCAGGAGCTGCCTGCCGGGGCATGGAAGAAGCCTCTTTGGCAGCCTCGAGAGGAGCGAGAGGAGAGCGAGCGCGCCTCTGTCTGTGACCCAGGCGTCGCCGCTGCCCCTCTCCCTGGGGAGCACATCCACACAGAGGTCTCTCCCTTCCCTCCCTTCCGGGTCTTCCTCTGCAGAGCCCAGTGGAGCCAGGTGAGTGCCCTTTCTCCCCAGAGCATCCTGCTGTCAATTCTGAGAGGGACTCAGGTGGCAAGGGGCTAGGAGGTGGGGGCACCAGGGGCCTGCCACTGCCCATGGTACCCACCTGGATTGCCAGGGCCAACGACCTTGTCCCCTGTTCCCCAGGGCCTTGGCAAAGAGGTTAACCCCCGGATCCAGTCCCCGGGGCACCACAGTCAGTCACCCCGTGACCATTCTGCTGCAGTCAGTGATGCCAACAGGGACAGTGGGGTGGGGAGAGACTTCCCTCTGGCTTGTGGGTGGCTTTTCTGGATGGGCATGGGCAAGGGGTATCCATGTGCACGGCATGTATGCATGCTTGCAAGGAGCCTGGAGGTTTGCTTGCGTAGATAGTTCTGTATGTACACGCCTGTGCTCATGTGTGGGTCTCCACAGCTGTGTGGCATGTTTAGGAACATACGTTTCTTGTACATGTGAGGTACGTGTGTGGGGGGGGGTCACTTATCTGAGTAGCCTTTGGGTTATGTGGGCGGGGGCAGTGTGAGGCAGTATATTTATGGGGTGGACATATCACTTGTCATGTGTGTGGGAGTACATGGTGAGGGAGGGAATGCGTGCAACCAAAGCATTTCTATGTGGGGAGGGGTGACTCCAGAGCAGAAAGGGATAGGTAGGTGGAGAGTGTGGGCAGAAGCCACTGTCTGTGGGCAGCCCCTCATAGGTGTGCAAACCTGTTGGCACGGGAAGGATCAGGGCTGGCAGAGTGTGGCTAGAGACAAACCACATTTCCATAGCTGGGGTCTTTGAGCCTGGGGAAGACTTGAGAGAGAATATCAGAATATGGGCAGAGGTTGACGTGCGTGTGAATACACATGTGTGTGCAAGCAGGCATATGGATTGTATCCCTTCTGTGGAGGTAGGACGCGCCTGTGGCTTTCTCTTCCCCCCAAATATAGCTTGTGAGAATGTGTGCCTGTATGTGTGCGTGAGCCTATGAACTTGAACATGTGTGGGTCTGTGTGGAGGTGACAGCTTGTAGAGGGGAAACTGTGGGACATTCTTAGAATGTGGAACGTGGCGGAGGCACCCGAGTGTGTAGGTGAGTGAGTGGGTCTGAGAATGTCCGAGGAGGTGTGTGCAGCCCGTGTGCGGCAGGTGTGGGTGGGCACATTCAGTGTATGTGTGCATGTGTGTATACGTGTGCACGCACACATGTGCTTACCTGTGTGTGGGTGTGTAAATGCTTGTCTTGGCAGTGTGGGTGTTTCTCAGGTCCTGTCTCAACCTGTCCCTCACACCCCGACCTTCCCCAGTCACTTGGACTTGGAGAACTGGGGCTCACACCCACCCTTGGTCCACCCTGGCTTTGCTGTTCTCCCGAGTGTCACTCACGACCACTCTCCCAAACTAGCATGGGGGAGTAATCTCAGCTTTTCTAGAACTGTAGAAAGAAAGAATGAGCCAGGTCCTGGAGATGCACCCCCCCCTTGCAAAGATGGCTGCCCCGTCTCTGGAGGAGACTCTGAAGAGAGGAGTATTGAGGAATAGGTGTCCACATGTGGGGTAGGCATAGACTGAATCCCCTGTGGATGGGAGGTGGTGGCTCAGGCCCTTTCTAGCGTGGGATTGTGTCTGTGTTGGTGTGTTGTGTTGGTGCATGTGTGTGTGTGTGTGTGTGTGTGTGTGTGTGTGTGTGTATGTGGGTGCATGTGGGTGCATGCGTGTGTCTCCCTGGGGAGCTTCTCACAGGGAGCCCAGAGGATAGCAACTCCCCACGTCTCCACATCTGTCCCCATGAATTGCAAACTGGTTTATTATCATCCAGTTGTTTACCAATCCTATTCTGTTTTATTTTTGGGTGGACCTGGTAGCACCCCCATGCTTATTTACCATAGGATTCTCTGTGCACAAGCCACCGGCATTTGGCTGGACTTCACAACAGGCAGGCTCACGCTTTAGGGTAAGAAGCTCAAATGAAACAAGGGCTCAGGGGACACCCTGGAATAGGTAAAAGCCATCACCCATATCCTTCACCCTGTGCCTGCCACTCAGGCAGCCCACGGATGAATTTAGAGGTATCAGGCTCCACAACAGGCTTAATTGACAGGAGAGTGTGGGTTGGATCTTCTGGAAGCTATAAATAGAAGTACCTGCTTTCGAAGGCACAAGGTACCCTTACCCTTAGCACCTGGGCAAAGAGAAGAGAAGAAGCAGAAGGGGAGAAAAGGAAACCACATTCCAGAAAGCTGAGGTGTGCTTGGACGGGGCTTGAGAAAGAACCAGGAAAGCATGAGCTTCACTGGGCACTAAGCAAATGCCCGGGAGCAAGTCCAACCCACATTCATGTTCTTGTCCCAGAGACAGTCTCTCCCCACTCCCTCTCCCTTCCCCACCCTGTTTCCCAGACCTCATGAGCCAGGCCACAGTCAAGGACAGGGTCAGATCTTCCTAGCAAAAGCACAGGTGAGTGACAGTGCTATGGTCCTTTTATACCTGGAAGAGCAGCTGGGGTAGAAAAAGCAAAGGTGAGAGAAGAGGAAGGTGAGAGAAAATGCAGTTACTTGAAAGGGAAGGATAGAAGGAAGAAAAATAAATAGCATTAAAACCATGTGCACCTATGCATATACACATGCCACACATGTCACACACACACGCACACGCACACACGAGGGGACACAAACTTGGCTTAATGATAAAGAGTTTGAGCTCTGGAGTCAGATGTGAATTCAAATCATTTTTTAGGCTGTGTGACCTTTGGCATCTTGGTACCCCCCCACCTCAGTTAACCCATCTGTAAAATGAGGATAGGGGCCCCTGAGTGGCTCAGTCAGTTAAGCATCCGACTCTTTATCTCAGGGGCTTGAGTTCAAGCCCCACATTGGGCTCTGTGCTGGGCATGAAGCCTACTTTAAAAACAAATAAATAAAATAAAATGGGGGGCAATAAGAGTACCTACCTATTGTGAGGTTTGCACGATATGATGCTTATGCAGTTATTATTACCACACAGATGCCTGAGGAAAA